ACAACAGAAACTACAGGCATATTACATAGCGAGCAACGTATATTGCTGAAATTTCAATTCAACATATCTTTGTAAACACGGAACAGAATTGAACCACTTTTGGATAGATATACATATTAGAGGTCCAGCTTTCACATTATTGTAGTTTGCAAGGGATTATATAGCGCTAAAATGACGCAGTGAGGCTTTAATATTGCTTGTAAATGGAATAGAATGGGGTTTAACGTCCTATTATTCTACTCCGAATGGGCTAATGAAGACGGGCATGCGTCATACAGTGTGCAATGAGTTATATAGAATTCCAACTGCCAAGGGGTCTTTAACGCGCACGCCAATGTATACACGGGCCCTCAGTCTTTCGTCCCATCCGAACGACTAGATAGCTGTCCTTGCCAGGCCCTCAAGGGGAAAACCAAGTCGGAAAATCCGATGAACTTTCTCGACCAATGCAGGGATCGAACATGCGACCTCCAGACTAGCAAGCCAGCGACTTACCCACTTATCCACCATAGCTTTAATATTGCCTGTAGTAATTTACTACATAAAGATAAATCATGGTAACGGTATAGTTAAAATGTTTACATTCAGTGTAAAAATATAGACATATATCTATAATGGCTTGTTGGCAAGTTAAACAAGTTACAATAAAAATCGTGTCAAGATAGCACACGACTCGCATATAATCTATCATACAATTTTATTACAGTATAAGATCATTTTTATACTCAATTGTCTTTCTTATAAGCTAAGTTAAGATTCCAATCATATTGTAAAATTAAACTGACGCTTTTATAGTCCGCTTCAAATTACTTATAAATGTTGATAATACGAAACTTGCACATGTGATAATGTCTATAATTGCCTGGGAAAGGAGAGGGTATTGTACACGTGGTGAGTCAATATGGCGATGCTTTGATTCTTTAAGTGTCTGATAAAAATAAAAGTCGTAAAATAGACGATGGAAAGGATCGGTGAGTGCTAGCAACAATTTGAATTTTATAGGTCATTTTGTAAGTGCGTTGAAGGACCCCCTACCTCACAACACTGTTTGACAATTATGGACCAGAGAGAAAGAGAAAACCCAATAGGTTGGACAGACTTCCCCATACATTGTCACTTACACGCGGTGACTCGTTAGGCAGGTGGTTAGGCATGTACAGCGCCTTTTCAACAGAAAATTTAGGACAATTAGTGTCCAATGGCGGGTAGGACAATTTCCGCCTTCTCATCGAATTCCAAAGGGTCGGGGGCTCGGCTGATATGCCATATGAAGGACTAAATAGTAATTTACGTTTCATACCCACAGGTGCCACATCTGACAAGTGGAAATCGGCGTTTTAAAATCACAGTTTTTATCATCCCAAACCGAGGTGTGAACCAGAGGCATTATCCATGTAGTTCTATTAAAATCTCCACTCACAATATTTTACATCAATTATGTACGATTTAGATAAAGAGAGAAAGAGAGAGAAATGGGGTTTAACGTCCACTCGACACAAACTAGGTCATTTCGGGACTAACATATGGTTTAATTTTATTTCAATAATTCGCTTGCGCGTAGGGGTCTTTAGCAGTGGGAGGAAACCCGAGGACCCGGAGAAAACCCACGAGGTTAGACAGACGACCCTACTCCTTGTCACGTACAAGGGATTCGAAACCACGCCAGTTGACTCAATTTAGATAAAGAGCTGATCGTTCATTTTATTAAAGTTTTAAAAGAAAGATAATGAAAAATGAATATAATGAAAATTTCAGTCAAACTAATTTATTCTAGGCCAAGTTATGAATGTTTGAAGTTTTTTTTACAAAAATGTAGTGTAGATTGCTTATTATCTATTTCATCGTGACAGACATCACATCCATCATCATCATTTATTTATTGTTTGCAATTACCATCTGTGTTTGTCATCATACAGTAATATTATTCTAAGATATAAAGTTGACAAATACTCTCACAGATTCGTGTTAAACCTACTTGACCACAATATTCATTCCATTGTATTGATCTTATGTTCTTAGCAATCATCTTGTACTCAACCAGAACACTGCCTACATATCATCCCAAGAAACATGGCCATTATAACTATTGAATTGGTAATTTGAAAGCATCAAGGTCGTTATATTCTATGTCTTTCAGACATTCCAAAACTAGGTTTCCTTAAAGATGCATTACTCAGTATCCAAGTTCGCCTGTTGTAGGTCTTTATTTTGGATTCAAAAGTTATATAAATCATTATCATTTATTGAGATTGCAGTTCTTTAAATAAGTGATTAGGAGTTTGCCATGGATACGGAACACAATCAATATATATACTCTAACTTTCAATTTAAACTGGGAAATCTGACTCATATTGCTGGGATATGGTTTGCTTCGAATAAATATTTGAATTTTTTATGTCTGTCGGATAGGGGTGGCAACTGTTTTGGCGCCATCACGGCCTTATAAAAGAAAATCTTAATGAGAGAAAAGTTCCCTAGGCATGACATATACGGGGGTATTGCCCTAATTAAAAGGAAAAATCTTACAAAGTGGTCCAAGTTGTAACTATCATAAAGTCTGTCATTGAGTCAACTGGCGTGGTTTAGATACCCGGTTGTACGTGACAAGGAGTAGAGTCGCCTGTCCAACCTCGTGGGTTTTCTCCAGGTCCTCCGATTTCCTCCCACTGCTAAAGACCCCTACGCGCAAGCGAATTATGGAAATATAATTGAACCATATGTTAGTCCCGAAATGACCTAGTTTGTGTCGAGTGGACGTTAAACCCATTTCTCTCTCTCTCCAAGTTGTAACAACAAGGTAGGTCATATCATTGTCCCATGCATGATGTCCTATCGACAATGTAACCTATCTAATCTGCAAGTTTATGGTTCATTCCAAACTGGGACAACTTGGTATGTTAAAGGAAGAAGGTAAAATATATTTTCATTGATAGGATCACTGATTGATTATTAAACAGATTAGCTATCAATCAAATCGGTCACATGATCATTCACTTGTCGACATGGACTGGGCTAATGACAATATAATGTAAACAAATTGAATGGAAGACCATATTATTTTTATCATATAAATCGACATATCATATTCTTAAAATAGAAAGGTTGGGCGTTCACCAATAACTAAAATATCCATAGTGAAGGACCGAGGGTCGAAGATTCCAAAAGAATCGATGATTTTTACCTCTTTTGCCAAACCCTAATCGCTAATCGCGTTCATCTTATGCATTTTAATCTTACACTGCAATTGATATGGGGTTTAATATCCCAATTTTTTCTGGTTAATATGCCAGCGTCTTGCTCACTGAGCGGTCTGTTGATTTTCCGAATTTGAAAGGCGAAATCTGTCTTTTTGGAATTTCAGTTTCACCTTTGTTTTATTTTTTATTTTACTAGTTTAAAGCTGCATTATGTAAGATTTAGATAAAGAGTTGACAGTCCTCGCTATAATAGTTAAAAAAATAGATAACAAAAAAAATAATATGTTGACAATTTCAGTCAAACTACTTCATTCTGAGAGGAGTTATGGCCGTTGGGAGAGCAATGTAGTCTCGATTGCCATTGCCACCGTTGTTACGATGATAAACAAAGTCTCAATTGTCCATAACTAACAATCGTGTTTAAAGGAGCTAAATCGCTAATATTTAGGACCTACAAATTGACACAAATGGGTCGCAACGTATATAATAATGTAATATGAATGTAAATAAACTGATTTACATTCAATCGTTTCCGTTTTTACTCTAATTTCAAAGCAGCTTTGTTCGGCGAAATACGCCAGAAGTCTCAATTCAATGGCAATCTCTGGCGTCTGGTTATTCCAGTCTACACCGATAGTATTTATTGCGCATGTTCTCCAGATAAAAATATGGGGTCATCGTTTGACATGACTTGTGGCATATGTCTAACCTTGTTCTTCGAGTCGCTTGTTACAAATTGCGCTGAAACGCATAATGGTACACGATTCGTGTACCAATCGTAAAATGTTTATTTTGTCTTAAATATTGGATATCAGAAGCCCATCTTTCTCCGGTAAGATCACAACAACAATGTTGATTAAAATTGACAAATAATTCGTGTTTTCATTGTCGAAGGTTTTAGATGATATTGAGTTAGAGACTTAGCTACTTTAAATATGTTGAAAATCAAAACCATCCGATGGTCTAGAGATATGATTATGGGCTTGGCATGTGCCTAAATGTCTAATTAATGAATTATATAACATTTGAGGGGCCAAAGGAAAGATCTGCATTAGGCAGATTTAGCTCTTACATAATGCATCTTTAAGAAGGATGACCCTTGATTCCCTTTGATGTCCCAGGTTACTTCTGCATTTTTTATGGGCTTGATATACTTAATGTTATATTGTCGTTATACAATAAATTACTAAAAAAAGTTTTGATAAAGAGTCGAGTAATATTCAAGTATATTATGTCAACACTGATATTTATAAAGGTTCTTCATTCGAAATTAAAATTCAATATGGAAACAACAACCTGAAACTTTCCAAATTTTGTTACCTTTATTTCTTACTTCATAAGCAATATTTTATTCAGATTTGTATCTAATTGGTAGACAGGCATAGCGTGTCGCGTGTACGATCCCTGCTCTGGCCGAGAAGTTTCAATCCGACGTGAATTCCCCTTGTCTAGTCGTTCGGATCGGACTAGAAAACAGAAGTCCCGTGTATACATTGACGTGCACGTAACAGATCCCTTGGCAGTTGGAATTCGATATATAAGTAGGTCATAGTGCCACTGCCCGGGCAAAATGTCCCTCATAGCACACTGTATGGCTTATGCCCGTCTTCATTAGCCCAGTCGGAGACGAACAGTAGGACGTTTAAGCCCATTGCATTTCATTTCATTTTTCCAGAAGACTGCAAAACGAGATAAGAGATATTTTGAAACGCCGAAACTCACTTTAAGCGGTTCAGTCTCACAATATGATTAAAACAAAAGTTACTTTTAAAACAGAATATGTTTTATGAGAGTGTATCTTACCTTAGCGAAGCCATTAGGCAGACTCATGGACACTTCATGAATTGGTACAAAAGCTGAAACCCTTGTTTTGGGTTTAGCCTTGATGAAGTCCGGAAAATCGTCCATCTTGATAAAGATCACCGAAGCAAATAATTTAAATATCTAACTCAAATCCTAAACGTATTAATAACAATGAATCAGTTATTGGCCAACAAGAAAATGAATCTGTTTTTAAGAAAATCGATACCAATCGAATGCTACACTGCACACTATAAGTCAACAAAAACTGAAATTAGCTGCACAATGCAGAGGCCTGTTTTCTGGTCGCAGGTTAAAACTTGATTTCACTTCACATCCTCGCTTGTTCCCGACCATTGTTCAACCACATACAAAGTTTACATAGCGGCTACTTCTTATTCCAAGACCAGTTCTTTCATGATTAGGAATATCCTTGTTATTGAATTCCTTTCATAAAAACCCATTAAGATTCATGTCAAAGACTTGGGGTCATTACTTATACGTGTTGTTGTCAACCAAGATGAATAGTTCCAGAATTTCTCCACGAATGGCAGTCGTCATGGGTTTAAGATGGCCGATATCCGGTCGTAAAGCAGACGACAAATGAATACGTCCACTTGAATTATAACATGCTAGGCTCTCAAGATTCTCTAAGAACAAACTGAACAACTCGTTCTTTTAAATAATTCAGAGAGTTCTTAAAAGCTTCCATTGCATGTCAATTGCATGTCAATTGCATGTCAATTATAAATAACAAACTTTTAATTGATTACGATAGATATGCGCAGACAATAATTAAAGTATCATTTTACAGTCGCGAGCCCGGCAGTCATTCCATTAATTTCCACTTCTCGAAAGTTCTTTATAATTACCTCAACACTTTACCACTTTTAAGAAAAAAAATCGAATACACGAAATTCTTAAATTTTTAACTAATCTCCATATGCGTTAATATGACACGGCAGAAAGATGCACCATTAAATCCCTTGACAGAAACAGGTCATAAATGAAGAAATGTAATGAAGGTACAGCTAGTTAAATGAAAGCACAACTTATCGATATGAGTTTACATATACCTATTGTATGTAACTAAGTATCCAATCATAACCCAGTGAAACGTCTCGCTGGGTTTTTTTTATTGTCGTACAGTAGGACATTCATAAAAGATAATAGAATATTTGTAAGAAATGGAAAACAACTATTCAATATTCTATCAGCGACAGACAATAACCTTTCCTATTATTTACTATAACAGTTTAATAAAAGAATTTGCAATTCGTGGGTAGATATTAAAAGCGTATATGGTTGACATTGATATATGTGTGTTGTGGACGTTTCTACAGGAGATATTGTTAGTGGAATCTTGTATAGAGGTTTCTTTACACGTCTAGTTCGTTTTGTTTAACATTTTTTACATGGGACTTGAACAAACTATTGAATCATTTATTCTATACAATCTGACTAGTTATTATATCTGACGTGTGTATTACAAATGAAATGAAACGAAATGGGGTTTAACGTCCTACTGTTCTGCTCCTAACCTGGGCTAATGAAGTCGGGCATACATCAAACAGTGTGCTATGAGGGAAATTTTGCCCGGGCAGCGGAACTATCGCCTACTCTTATATAGAATTCCAACTGCCAAAGGATCTTTTACGTGCATTCCAATGTATACACGGGACCTCGGTTTTTCGTCTCACCCGAAGGACTAGACAGCTGTCCTTGTCAGTCCCTCTGTCCTGCATCACTGACAAGGGGAAACCATGCCGGAAAATCTGGATGAACTTTCTCGGCCGATGCAGGGATCGAACACCCGACCTCCAGGCTAGCGAGCCAGCGTCTTACCCACTTAGCCATGTGATCCCCCTATACAATCTAACTATATAGTTATTATATTTGACATGTGTATTAAAACATACCAAATATATATTTATCTTATTATTATTTGAGTATGTTTCTTGTCTATTTTTCGATTACCCGGTTGTACGTGACAAGGAGTAGGGTCGCCTCTCTAACCTCGTGGGTTTTCTCCGGGTCCTCCGGTTTCCTCCCACTGCTAAAGACCCCTACACGCAAGCGAATCATTGAAATAAAATTGATCCATGTGTTTGTCCCGAAATAACCTAGTTTGTGTCGAGTGGACGTTAAACCCCATCTCTCTCTCTCTTATCTATTTTATCAATCAAATGCCTGTATTACATCAAAACCAAATAATGACAAAGCCTTTTCACCTATACGTACATATCAAAGTTACGTTATATTACACTCTTTTCGGGGTGTTTTTAATTAATTGCAAATACAAAGATAGGTTGCCAGGTAACAAAACATGCGCCCAATGAGCTAAATCGTCCGGGCAGTCAACAAGAGTTGTCGCATATTCTTACTTTTGTCGATAATGAAACAATTAAAATACACTAAAATCTGATTAAGAGAAACAAATCATTAAGTAATCAGAAAATTGTTAGAATTTGTTTTGCCCATACTAACGTTTAGTATACAAAACATTTAATATCATGGACTTAGCTGTTCAAGTTATCAAAATTCATTGAAAATCAATACTTGTTCGTCTGAATACCTTAAACTCTGTGTATCAACATTGTGTATAAATTTAAAGTCCATCGGATATTAACTTTAGCCCCTAGAGCGTCCAGAATATTTTTCAAAGTGAACAAAGGCCATAACTCTGGCAGTAAATATCGGAAATCAATGAAAATCAATAGACGTCTTCGTCTCATGGCCTTAAACACTGTATATAAATTTAAAGTCAGTCGGACATTAACCTTAGCCCCTTATTAACAAGCAATTGCGAATGCCGGACCGATGGTCCGGCGGACGGGGGCGATGACAATATTCGACCACATTTCAATGTGGGCGTATAAAAATGAAATGGGGTTTAACGTCCTACTGTTATGCAGGCAGTCGGGCTAATGAAAACGGGCAATTCGTCGTGGCATGCTCCTAATCAACCGTCCAATCACGATTTGGGGTAATCTGACCCACTGCTCTTGCAGTGCCACGGCCAATTCTTGCAGTGTTGTCGGTTGACGTTGACATCGACGAACACGTCTCCCGATCAAATTAAACGTAACATACTAAAGCAAAGATACTCTAAACAGTAAATTTTATGCAAGAACCGATAGGAAAGCAAACATGGATACATAAACCAGCATGCGGCAGTTTTCATCAACCTTTCCTTGAAGTGTCAAATTTGACAATGAACCCCTCCCACGTGTATGGCGCTATTGCGTGTCGCATGTGCAACTCAGTGGTTCTGTTGGGGCGATAAGTTCTTCATCTGTGAACATACTCTCAAAGCATTCAAGTTACCATGACTATTTATCATATCACAACTTGCATAGGTATTTGCATTTCAATATCCCCTACTTTTATTTTGAAGAGTATATATGAGCGATATAAATATCTTGGTGACAATATCAATATTTATAACATCAGAACAGGAAGTACCCGATAGTGTTGTTAAATTACAGCCCTTTGATTTGTGTAGACATTTAGTAATATATTGATATTGCACGAGTGCGTTAGTTAGCACGAGGGCTATATCTATATATTACGCAATGTCTTGCACGAGGCCATTAAAGAGGAAATTGCAAATTTTCTAAGAAAGTCAAAACGTAATTATTTCTACGTCTTTAGCTCAATAGGTTGTCAACTCACAATTATACGATCATAGGTGTCATTCTCGCACTTAAAACTCATTTACACAGGAAATAATAACACAATTACCTCCCAATTACCTCCCTTGTTTTATATTCTCCACCATGGAGTAGCTTTTTTCAAACGTTAGAAAATGAAGAAGAAAATGATATTTTTGCCAATTTCTCAGCTGGCAATAGTGAATTATAGGATTAACAGAATTATTCTTTAACAAGGTAGGACTGTTTTTGGAAATTTTACAACCATAAAAAAAACGAAACGAAATAGGATCTGTGTTTTAATCAGGCGTTATTTTAATAAATTTTTAAAATATAACTTAAAAATTTGCAATTTCCGCTTTAAACAACTTAAAATACAGACACTATCCAGCACGTGCATTTCAATGAAATTTGTCACGCGGAACCGATATTTCAACTTTTATAAATAATGTTTGCTTGGCACATTGTGTTGTGCTAACATCAAAGGATGACGTCACATCTGTATTTCGATTGGATATAAAGTACGTGCTATTATTCTCGGGTTATCTTTTCAATAGGTAATTCACGATGGGCATTAGTTCAAAATGTCTGACTCCTTGTTGATCGCTGACAGCTAGAGAAAGAGTCAGTCATTCGTTAAAATGTTGTTTTTTTTTTCTGATAAACATTGCATAACAGTATTAAACTCATTTTAATACCCAAAAATCTTGACCCCATTTTAACTGTCTGTTAAATTGGATGGGGCCCCCAGTACACGAAAAAGGGCTCACTGGGTAATTTCGACTCTGCTTGTAGACATCTATATGTTTATATTGCCGCCAGTTTGTCAGATCATTGATTTCTTGCTACGCTTGGACAACGAACACTAATTATTGGAATTTTCTAAACCTGTACACTTGATACCATTGATTGGGGCTTATAAACTTGAGGTTTGGCTAAAGGTTTCTCATATATAGCATTTTATTAATGTCTGTCTGCATTCGTACCTTGACAATCTGATTAAAACACAGATCCTATTTCGTTTCGTTTTTTTATGGTTGTAAAATTTCCTTTTACTTGTCTTTACCACACTAGGATCTGGAAGAGTTTTATTTAAGCCGCGTTCTTGTTGATGTGAGGGATTAACCAATTAAATGGTTTGTTACGGCGAGTTCTTGGCGTGTGGTGCACGGACCTGTGGGTTAATCAACTTTCTGACTTCTGACAAAACGAAACGAAATATGGATGTGTATTTTAATCAGATTATACCTTGATTGAAGTTTGAAACATAATTATGTTCTAATACGAAAAGAAAGAGAGAGAGAGAGAGAGAGAGAGAGAGAGAGAGAGACAGAGAGAGAGAGAGACAGAGAGAGATGGGGTTTAACGTCCACTCGACACAAACTAGGTCATTTCGGGATTAACATATGGTTCAATTTTATTTCCATAATTCGCTTGCGCGTAGGGGAGGAAACCGGAGGACCCGGAGAAAACCCACGAGGTTGGACAGGCGACCCTACTCCTTCTCACGTACAACCGGGAAATCGAAACCACGCCAGTTGACTCAATGACAGAATTTATGATACAGTGCGCACGTGCTAACCATTCCACCATCCAAACCCCCTTCACCAAAAGAAGAACAATAACAAGATGAGTAGCGGTTACCGACCAGTTCCTTGTTCCTGGTCCAAAAAGGATCAATATTTATATTTTCTTTCTTTAACTTGTGTTACTTGCCCAGAATAAACCTTACAATGAACCTAAGGAAATATATTTTTCATATTTGCAAGGGGTGGTTCGCACACCTCCCTCGGGGGTTTTCGCGCCAACTGAAACCTCCCGGGGTTTTTTTTCTTCATTCGTGTATTACAAAGATTATGATGAATTTAACAACTCTAACCGTTCATATAATTTTTGTTTTAATTTCTTGATTAAATGTTAAATAATCAACTTGAGTACATCAGCATTTTAGATAATTTAGGTCTTAAAAATTATATATACAACGCAAAATGCACAATCTGGATCGACAACGTTAAGAAATACAATCTGAATCGACAACGTTAAGAAATACAATCTGGATCGACAACGTTAAGAAATACAATCTGGATCGACAACGTTAAGAAATACAACAAATGTAAATTGTAGCCATAAATCATTTTTAAAATGAAATGAAATGGGGTTTAACGTCCCTACTGTTCTGCTCCGACTGGGCTATTTTGCTCGGGCACCGGCACTATGGCCTACTCTTATATCGAATTCAAACTGACAAGGGATCTTTTACATTCACGACAATGTATACATGGGAACAAGGGGAAACCACGTCGGAAAAAATCATTTTTAG